ATCGGTGAGTGCTCCGCTTCAGTTGGAATTAGTGTAACTATGGTGTTGCCCTTTTAGTTTTTTGTGTTCAATTAATTTTGATTATTATTTTAGCTGTTTCATGAGCATTAAAATTGTCTGTCGATTATTTTTTATTTTTTGCAAAGAAAGACTATTTTCCATTGTTGTTTTAGATTCATTGGAGAAACTCTGCGGTGGTTATTTTATAGGAATACTGAAAAATCAAGTTTTAAGTAGTTATGCACTTAAATCTTTTTATTTGTTCTTATCTGACATAAGTTTCCTAAAATATTTGAACACTTCTATAATAAAGAAAGATTCATGCATCATCATGGATCTGTTTTAGAATTTCGGCTCTTCCACTATTTTCATATTGATTTTAATTTATGCATATGTATTATGCTTATGGTTTTATGCCTTTGCTCTTCCTAATTTTTATATATTGTTGTTACTATTTTTATTGCCATCATGGGGACATATTTTCTTACTAACGGCTGAGAATTATTGGTGGTAGTAGCCTTTGTTTTCTCCTGGTCTCTACAATGTTCTCTCTAGCTGTGCTCGGTATATTACTACTACTATTATGTTAAGGTTAAGATGTCAAAGTTCTTCCTCACCAATTTCTACTTTAGATGTGTACATGATATTAAATTTTATCTTGCCATAGGATTTCTTTGCAATGAGTGTGTGTGTGTGTGTATATATATTTTTTTTTTCAAACCATTTCTCCCATATTTAATCTATTGAATTCCAGTAAATTGTCATGTCATTTTGTGTTATATTACTATCAACCATGTCATTTTGGCCATTTGAATTTAGGTGCTATTGGAATTTCACACTCAAATCTGTTTGTGAAGGGTTTATAGAAACATCAAATGTGACTTATCTTTTGACGGAGAAACTAAGAGTATGACTGTTGCTCCATTTGGTCGATATTTAGGAAGTAAGGTCAACAAAAAACTCATGAACCAATTATTATTGTGAGTTCAATGAGTTTTATTATGGTAGCCACCTCTGCTCGGATTATGGGGAGCCCTGAAATTTTTTTGGGCTGTAAAGAAGACCTTTTGTTTCCTTTGTACTTATATTAGAAAGAGAATTTGAATGATTCATGACTAGCTTAATAAGAGTTTCAAATGTAATATAGTTATTGTCATGACCCAAAATCCAAAAAGGTCGTGATGGTGCCGGACACCACTGTCAGGCAAGCCAACCATAATCAATTAACTTAATTACCCATTTTAGTATTTTTAAAATAAAAAAAATTTTAATAAAATAGTAAAGATAAAACTCATAGAGTAAATGATAAATATTTTTAAAAACTAAATTTCTAAATAATTCATAACCATTCCCAAAACCCGGTGTCACAAGAGCATGAGCATTTACTAGGGAATTAAAATAAAATACATCATCTGTCCATAATACAAATTAGACAGGGAAGCATAATAACTCTAACGGAGATTCTGTTAGCTGCGGATCGTAATATAGAATGCAGCTTACCTATGTCCCCACAATTATTAACCACANAGAATCTAACCAAAAATAATTCGATACAATCACTAAAATTTATAGGAATCAATTCTATAAAAAAAATACTACATTTTCAATAAAAATCCCGAAATTAATTAAAAATTCGTCTGTGGGGCCCACATCTCAGAATATGGCGAAAGTTATGAAATTCGACAACCCATTAAATTACGAGTCCAACCATACTAGTTTTACTCAAATCCGACTCTGAATCGATACCGAAATCTCAAAAATTCGTTTCTGTGAGATTTCTAAAAGTTTTCAAATTTCAATCTCAAAACACTAATTAAATGGTGAAAACAATGATATATTTGTGTATATAGACCAAATCCGAGTTGAATCACTTACCCCAAATGTCTTTCCTTGAAAATCTGCCAAACGTCGCTTCTGCTCAAGCTCAAGTTTGTCAAAAATGGCAAATGAGTCGAATGCCTCTGTTTTTATAACTTACACATCTGCCCAGTTCGATCTTGGGAGCTCGATCTTGGGAACTCGATCTTGAGAGCTCGATCATGGGAGCTCGATCTTGGGAGCTCGATCTCGGGAGCTCGATCATGGGAGCTCGATCTTGGGAGCTCGATCTCGGGAGCTCGATCATGGGAGCTCGATCATGGGGGAGCTCGATCATGGGAGCTCGATCTTGGGAACTCGATCTTGGGAGCTCGATCACAGCCCAGAATTTCCAGCATAAGAGAAAATTGCAGGAGTTGTTTAAGTCCAATTTGTGATCCGTTAACCATCCGAAACTCACCCGAGGCCCTCGGGACCTCAACTAAATATACCAACAAGTCCTAAAATATCATACGAACTTAGTCGAACCTCTAAATTACATCAAACAACGCTAAAACCACAAATCATACCCCAATACAAGCTTAATGAAACTAAGAATTTTCAACTTCTACATTCGATGTCGAAACCTATCAAATCAACTCCGATTGATCTCAAATTTTGCATGCAAGTCATAAATAACATAACGGAGCTATGAAAATTTTCGAAACTGTATTCCTACTCCGGTATCAAAAAGTCAACTCCCCGGTCAAACTTCCAAACTTAAAATTCTTATTTTAGTCATTTCAAACCTAATTTCACTACGGACTTCCAAATAAAATTCCGATCACGCTCCTAAGTCCAAAATTACCATACGGAGCTGTTGGAATCGTCAAAATTCTATTCCGGGGTCGTTTGCACATAATTCGACATCCGGTCACTATTTGAACTTAAATTTTATTTTTAATCAAAATTCCATATCTCGAGCTAGGGACCTCGGAATTTGATTGCGGGCATACGCCCAAGTCCCAAATCACGATACAGACCTATCAAAACTGTCAAAATACTGATCCGAATCTGTTTGCTCAAAATGTTGACCAAAGTCAAACTTGGCCTTTTAAAGCCAACTTAAGGAACTAAGTGTTCCGATTTCAACCCAAACACTTCCAAATTCCGAACCAACCATCCGCACAAGTCATAAATCATTTAAAGCACATACGAAAAGTTTTATTTAAGAGAATGGAGTTCCAAAAGTCAAAACGACCGGTTAAGTCGTTACAGTTATAAGTCACCTTTTATACATATGAGGTGCCTTAAAATAAAGTTGCTTGTGTTATATACTTGATTTCTGCTGTGTAAACTTTTGCTGCTATAAATGTTATAACTATAGCTTTTATTATTAATAAAATTCTGAGACAAATGGTCATTTCTGTTTATGGTTCTTGCTTAATATGGTCTGGCAGTCGTTGAAATTATCCAAAGTCATATTCATTAAAAAAATTGCATTTGCTGCATGGTATGATAACCAAAGCATTGATATTATGCTCAACATGAAAGTGGTTATTCCATATAATACTAATATAACCCATTTTCAGTAAAAACAAAATAAAAAAGAAAAATTGTATTGCGGCTGAATCTAATTTGAAAGCTAAATCTTTAACCTGTAATAATATTTATTGGGCGCCATAATGCTCTACATGACTTTACTTTTGCGACAATTAAAATAAATACAAGGATAAAAAACTTGAGGTAGAGGCTGAGAATAGTGAAGTCATATTAACCAAAGCAAAAGAAGCACCACCAATAGAAGTACATGCACCAAGTAAGTCGGCTTTTCAAATTTTAGAACCAAACCAATTAAGTCGGTTTTTTATCGATTCGGTTTTTGTTAGTTTTTCGGGTTTTTTTGGTTATTTATCGGTTTTTTCTTAAATATGAGACATACACTACCAAACGCATATTCCGGCTACTACATTTTCAACGTAACACTATCAAACTAATTGCTCTTTGAGAAATCTATCATTTACCAAGATATATTGATGATAATTGACTCAAATAGTGATGAATAATTTAAGTACTCAATTAAAAATCAATTATTTTTAACATGAAATAAATTCTTGTACTTAGCAAAATAAAACTACCAATCAAACTAGAATGCAAAGAATTAGATTATTATAATAACAAACAACTAGACTAAAAATACAAATGACTAATATGTACCATAAAATTTCAGAAACTTTATATAAAAATATACATATATATAGGTATAATAATAAATTTATATAACTACTTTTATAGTCGGTCTGGTTTGTTTTTTTCGGTTATTTTTTTATTAAAACCAAAACCAAACCAAATTTAATCGATTTTTAAAATTTAAAACCAAAACTAAACCAAACCTAAAAAGTATCGGTTTGTTAGTCGGTTTGATTCGGTTTTTCGGGTTTTTATGAACATTCATAATAGTATGATATACTCCCTCCGTTTCAATTTATGTGAACCCATTTGACTGGGCACGGAGTTTAAAAAAAGAGAGAAGATTTTTGAATTTGTGGTGTAAAATGAGACACATATATTTTGTGTGGCTATAAATCATTGCATAAAGATAAATTGTTTCCAAATAAGGAAAGTGATTATTCTTTTTTACACAAATTAGAAAGAAAATAGGTTAATATAAATTAAAACGGATGAAGCAGTAAATAACAAATAAATCAATTTAGCTAGGGAACATTCTACTCTATATATGTAAAAGAATTTTTAATAATCATCTCCTTTTTCTTTTTCCCTTTTCCTATATACTATTTTAGTAAGACAAAAATTGGATTCATTATTCTTAATTTTTTAAGTTGTTATTTAAAGCATTCTTTTCGTGTCTTAAATAGTTGAGTATTATAGTACTATGAAGGATTCACTTCAATTAGACGAAGGGCGAGGTATTTTATCTGAAGTTAGATCTTTCGTTTTTATGTGAGTAAAGATTAAAATTTAACTTTTAATTGTGTAAAAGATTTTTCACTGTTAATGTAATTTTACCAATTCTCATATGTCATTATACATTTTAATAGTTTATAGTAAAATCGTAAAAGAAATTTTTTATTAGTAGAGATTGATTATCTGTTTACTGATTTAAATATGTTTTAGTTTTTTATGATCGCGCTAAATTAACTAGTTTTAAAATAAATAGAAGATGTGGGCACTTTCTGATATTAGGCCTAAATTTCATTGGACCGAAACCTGCTCCCGCAAGCCATTTGTGACACAAACCCTTACGCGCTGCCTAAGTATATAAAGAAGAATAAGAAGCCAACAAAAAACGCCATTTGAATCAGATTTTGAAAATGCCAGGCTTATCTTGCAACGCTTGTGACAAGGAATTTCTTGACGATACTGAGCAAAAACTTCATTACAAATCCGAATGGCACCGCTACAATCTTAAACGCAAGGTATTGCTGAAAACACCTTTTGATTTAAAAAAAAAACAAATGTAAAATCGCTTGTGAATTTGATTTCTATGTATTAATTGCCCTTTATCGTGTATTAGATTGGGTGAGTACAACGTTTTATAAGTAAGATTATGCAGATTTAACCTACGCCGTTCCTGTAGGGGGGAACGCTTAGTGCCCCTTTTTACAACAGTAATGTCTGGTCAGCTTGGATGCACCTATACTAATTCATACTTCTTGCGATCTCTCTTTTTACAACAGTTATATCTGGCCAAACTTGTATGCACCTTGACTAATTCATTTGATTCTTGCTATCCACCAAGGTATAGATTGTTGGAAAAAATATTAGCTAGCTTTTTTGCCTCAGCTGGAAACAGCTACGCCGTTCTCTTGCCCCTTCTTTGTTTTGGGTGGGGGTGGGGTGTGGGGCAGAAACCAAAGGATGAAGGTAGTGGGGCAGTCAGGAATTTATGGAAGGGGATTCAAAAAACCTACTAGATTGTCATACTTAGGGTTTGAACTTGTTACCTAAAGCAGTTTTTGAATCCCTTGGCCACTACACTAATCAGAGGATGTTTGACTGGGCACATAGTCTAAAAAGGAAAGACGGACTTGTGGTCTAAGATATTTCAGTGGCTATAAATCATCCCATAAAGGGTATAATGAGAAGTTTAAAAGTAAATTATTTTTAATATAGAAAAGTGTCATTTACTAAAAAGGATAGAAGGTCATATTAATTTGGACAGAGGGAATACTTGTTATCTCCCTCCAAAATTGGACTTTGTTCCAAGTTGTAGTGTAGATAACTAGTTTTTCTACCTCAGCTGGGAAAGCTGTCCATTGCTTTTGCGCCTTCGTTTAAGGGGGGCAGACAACCAAAGGATGAAGGGTTGAAGTTGTCACCATGAACTAAGAATTCAGAGAGTTGAGGATATGAGTTTCATTTTTCATTTTCAGGGTAGCTGACAAGAGCTATAGCATGCCAGTTAACAGGAATGCTAACTGAGAGGCCAGAGGATTGGAAGTGACGACTTATAGAGGACATTGATACTAAGGGGAGATATGTTTGTTGAATTTCAGAATCTAATAGGAATGGTAACCGAGAGATTAGAGTGCATCTCTAGACTGTTGGGAAGAAAAATGTCAGTTGAATCAAAAGAGTGTGCTTGAGAGCTTTGGTTCAGTGGTAAGCGTGTAGAGCATGATACATTGGTTAGGAACAAAAAACTTGGTATTAAAGTGGAGAAGGGTAGAGTTGCAGGCCCATTATCCATCAAGTTCCAAACCATTTCCAGTTGGTCTTTGAGGATTTCTTGGATATTAAAAAAAAAAGAATGGAAAGAGTTTGGCTATTGGTCTTGTGTCTTAGACATCATTTTCTTCTTTTTCTTTTTAACCCAAAAGATAAATTTCTAGTTTGGTTTTGTCGGAAAATGACATATTCTTAACCTTTACTTGGTGATAGAAAAATGGGAAGTTAAATTTAATTTTCCTGTTAGTACATCTTTCTTTAACTCTGGCTAGTTTGTTTTTTTAGGACTGACCGTGGTTCTTTCATTCTCTTGTTCATTGAATAAACAATATCTTACCGGAGGGGTACATTCGATATATTTTGTGCCCCTTCCCACACTACTGTACAGTAATTGAAGAAACCAAAAGCTCAGGAATACAGTTATACAATCTGCTGTTGCGGAAAAGCATGTGGATCAAACTTATCAAAAAGAAAGCAAAAAGTGGATTTCACCTGATAAAAAGAAAGATTGCCCCCAGGGATTAACTCAATTGGCAAAGGTTGAGAGATTTGTGTCTTAGGTCCCAAATCGAGCCCTGCGCCAACTGCCAAGTGATCTTATTCTGGTATGTAAATGGAGAATGGTCGAGTGGGGGCCCCATCATCCCCGAGTTTCGGAGGCTGCGGTTGGCCCAAAGGGTCGGCTCTAGACGGATTTCTCAGTCATAAAAAAGTGGATTATTGTAGAAATTATACCTACTAATATGGTGCTTCTTATGATTTTTTTTCCTTTTATATCTTTGTTATAGTAACCAAAATCCCATATATCACTGGCCTCTTTACATATTATTTTCATGGGCCAGGAAGAGGTTTGAGTCTGGTAAAGGAACCTGTGTCCAATTGAGATTTTTCAGCTGAACACTACCAAATTAGGGACTTCAGTTCACGTATCATTCATCAAAGCTTAGGATTGATGACTATATATGTCTATGTCTGTCTCTGAATCTCTTCCATATAGTTTGTTAGGGATTGCTTCATGGGTAAGTATGCAGAATTGATGTTTTTGCTGTTGTACATGTTTTTTCAGATAGCAGGAGTTCATGGAGTGAGAGAGCATATTTTTCTAGCCAGACAATCTGCACTTGCAGAAGAGAAGAAAAAGTTAAGTGAAACTCCGTTGATCTATAGCTGTGGTCTTTGTGGCAAAGGGTATAGAAGTTCCCAGGCCCATGCTCAGCATCTGAAATCTAAAAGTCACCTAGCGCGCGCTTCTCAAGAACCAGGTCATCATGATGAGAATAGTGTGACAATCAAGCCACTTCTACGCCACCCTCAGAATGGAACTTCACGGAAGGCAAAAGAATATGGTGAGGAAAGTGATGACAGTGATGAAAGTGAGTGGGAGGAAGTTGATCCAGAAGAAGAGATGATTAGTGAAGCCACTGATTCTTTAACAGAATTAAAGATGAACGAGCATACATCTAATGGCAATATGGATGAAGATAGTGATGTTGATGAAGACATTGGAGACTTAGACCCATCATGTTGCTTCGTGTGTGATAAAGAACACAAGACCATAGAGAGCTGCATGGTTCACATGCACAAGATGCATGGATTCTTCATACCTGATGTTGAGTATCTGAAGGATCCCAAAGGGTTCTTGACTTATCTTGGTCTCAAGGTAGAATATGTTTCCTCTCATCTTCTTTCCAGGCTTTGTCAACTATTTGCGGTGTTCACAATCTTATTTTTTCCATGCTCAGGTTAAAAGGGATTTCATGTGCTTGTATTGCAACGACAGATGTCACCCTTTCAGCAGTTTAGAAGCAGTTCGGAAGCATATGGAAGCTAAAAGTCATTGCAGAGTGCATTATGGTGATGGGGATGAAGAAGAAGAAGCTGACTTAGAAGAGTTTTACGACTATAGCAGCAGGTATGATTTCTAATAAGAAGAAGCTGACTTAGAAGAGTTTTACGACTATAGCAGCAGGTATGATTTCTAATAAGATTGCTTTCTAAGTAATTTGGGTAGGATGTGGGGGGGTAAGTACTATACCTTTTGTAGATTTGTTTTTCCGAAGTACTTTAGGTAGGATGTGTGTTGTAACTAGTAAGCTCTATAGCTTTTGTTATTGGTTCTGAGACTTCTCTTCCCTCGTAGCTATGTGGATGAAACTGGGAAGCAGCTCATTTTATCGGATGACACGGGCAACAGTGTGGAACTTGGAAGTGGTGGATCTGAGCTCATAATAACAACAAGAAACGATGATGGAAGATCTGTTAAGACTCTTGGATCAAGAGAGTTTTTGCGTTACTACCGACAGAAACTGAGGCCTACGCGGATCAATGATGTGGCTGTCAGTGCTGCATTAGCCGCAAGGTATGTATTTGACTTCTTCAAAAGCGTCCATTATCGTCATCTTCCTTCAAACTGTCATCTGAGCCAAAACCATTTCCTTCCAGGTACCGAAGCATGGGTCTTGCAACAGTGCAGTCCAGGGAGCACATGGTTAAGATGAAGGTGTTGAAGGCCATGAATAAGTCTGGTGTGGAGGTTATGCGCAATAAGATTGGCATGAAAAGCAATGTCATCCGTAACCTCCCCAAGAATATACCATATTAGTCATTTCCAAACTAATGCTAGCCTTGCAATAGTTTGGAGATTGATTGGATTTCTATTGTTCCAACTTGTGTATTTCCCCAGTCATATTTATATTTCTGGTTTGCGTTGTGATATCTTACATAACCATTCGTGTTGGTGTATTGATTCTATAATGCTCTTATGTTTTTGCTCCAGGAATTAAAAAGGATGAATTGTTTGAATTAGATCTTGGCTCTCGAATTTTCCTTTCTTGATCCCTCCTGTTGTTAGAAATGTTAAATGTTTTGTGTTGAATGTTTTTTTTCCGTCTGTTGTGTTGGAAAATTAGACTCAAGTAGTTATCGTTTACTCAAGCTATATTTGCTATTTCAAAGTTTTTTTTGGTTGGTATTTTTCTCTCTTTTTATGATTTCGATGACCAATGCAGTGACACTTCAAGAGTTATGATTGTTCTAGCGCCACTGCGTCCTTTTATCTCATGGCCCATTTTATAGCATTATGTCACGTACTTGGTCATTAACTAAGTATACATGCGGTGCTTGCGGCGCTTGACAACTCGATCATTATTTTGCGCAACTCACTCACGTTCTTGATGTGCCAAGTCAACCTAAAATACTATACTCAAGGTTGTTAAGGGAATGTTAGATAAAAAAAGACGAGAAATTTGCCAAAGGAAGCTTTTTTTTATTGTAGAGAACTTGATTATTTTGCTTGATGAGTTACAAATGAATAACCCATTCATATATTAGTTTTATGGGGGCTAGTGAGTAAATAATAATTATACACAAGGCCCTTAATACAAGTAAATCTCTTCTCTAGAATATTCTACATAGCTAAAATCTTCTAAGTACTTTACTAGCAATTCCATAGGGTTCTAAGGTGTTTCACGAGAAATCTTCATATTTCTCTAGAACATTCCCACATTTGCTAGTCTATTTCATATGTAAGCTTCCACATGACATTAATATATGCCAAATGGCACCTACGTGGCATGATGATGTGGTGGGTCATGACACTATCCCCACCCAATTTTGTGTCGCCCTCGGCACAAAGCATCGACACGTACGCACGCACCTCGCCTTGTTGTCGCCGGAGATCTTTGTCCATTAGCCATGATGCTCTATGGAGCGGTTCGCCTTCTCATGTCATAAGGCACTGGTCACCTTTCTGCTTGCCCTGTTTGTACTATGGATGGCTAACAATGATGGCCTCGATCCTCCGCCCATCGGATGCCTCTTCTTGCTCTTGGCCTGAATCTCCCCATGACTCGACCAAGTCTAGCAGCTTCTCAAGCATCGGGTACATGGTTCCACTCCCTATTTGGCTGCCCTCTGTGGTCACAGCTTTACTGGAAAACATGCCCCCTCTACTTGGTGCTTCGTCTAAGTCCGATAGCGTGCCATCACTTTGTAACTTGTCATCCTCTTCAACTATGTTCTTCCAACGTTTCTTGCCACCACCATGCTCTATTTGCTTGGCGCCAAGATAGGCTTTGGAATCCCCTACTTTCGGCTTAGATTCCAAGCGCATATCCCCAATGCACCCAATGCAGGCATTTCCTCCTGTGTCACCCTTGTGTGCCTGAGCAAAGTTCTCGATCATTGCTGCAAGCTTCCCCAACTCTGGGCATTCACTTGCGCGATGTAATCCTTTACAGAAGTAGCACCCTCCTTTAGGCACGTACTCGCTACCATTTTTCGGCCCCTTGCCGTTTCCCTTGGACCCCTGTCCGCTATGGGATGGCCCATTGCCACTGCCCTTGTATACCTCGGCTATACTTTTCCCGTTGTCCTTGTCATGATCTCCCCCACCTCTCTCGGCGTTGCCTTTTTTGGACTTGATAGGATCCATCTTGAAGTCAACGAGCGACTCGGCTACCGTTATGGCCTCGTCCACGTTGGCTACTTGATGTCTTATTAACTCCTGCTTTGCCCAATTTTTCAACCCATCCATGAAATAGAAGAGGGAATCTTCCTCGGACAAAGACGAGATTTGCAACATTAAGGTAGTGAATTCGCGCACATACTCCTGAATTGTGGTCGTCTGTCGGAGCTCCCTTAGATTCCGCCTAGCCTCATACACTACATCATCAAGTAGAATTGCTCTTCAACTTCTTAATGAACTGGTCTCATGTCTTAATCTTGCATAGACCTTTTTTTCCATGTTGGCACACTTTCGACGCCACCCCAGAGCGGCAACCTCGGTCAAGTACATTGAGGCATTGCGTACCTTCACGACTTCGTCATCCTCCTTGACTACCTCAAAGTACTTGTCCATCCTCCAAAGTAAGTCGCCCACCTCGCGTGCGTCCCGTGCACCGCCATACTCCTTTTGCTTATGTATTTTCACATTTGTCCCTTTTGCATGTACCACGCCCATGATAATCCCGACCATCGTTCTCTACAAAGCTTACTTCTAGCAATCTCTTATATTCTTCCTAACATTCCTTTAGTCATAAACTTTGCTCTAATACCACGTTGTCACGTCCTTAGTCGTTAACTAAGTACACGTGTAGCACTTGACAACTCGCTCACTATCTTGCATAACTCGCTCACGTTCTTGCTGTGCCAAGTCAACCTAAAATATTACACTCAAGATCGCTAAGGGAATGTTAGATAAGAAATACAAGAGAAATTTGCCAAATGAAGCTTTTTTTATTGTAGAGAACTTGATTATTTTGCTTAATGAGTTACAAATGAATAATCCCTTCATATACTAGTTTTATAGGGGCTAGTGAGTAAATAATAATTATACACAAGACCCTTATTATTTACAAGTAGGTTCCTTCTCTAGAATATTCTACATAGCTAGAATTTTCTAAGGATCTTCCTAGCAATTTCATAGGGTTCTAAGGTCTTCCACGAGAAATCTTCATATTTCTCTAGAACCTTCCCACACATGCTAGTCTATTTCATATGTAAACTTCCACATGATATTAATATATGCCAAATGGCACCTACGTGGCATGATGATGTGGCAGGTCATGACAATTAACGCTATATCTCTTTTCTTGTGGTTTGGTGTCGTGCTTCTTTTATGTTGCACATTTTTGGCCATTTTTTTACAGCAACTTCTGGTTAGATATCAACGACCATTTCTTTACCCGGTTGTTTTCGATTACCAAATACACAATTTGGTTAATCGTAGCTTTTTGGATAGGCGTCGCTTGTGTTTGTTAGGACTTCTTCTACCATTAAGGAGTCTGGGGAGACGAACGGAATTTATCGACACTTTTATTAGAGGTCTTCGTTCAAATATAAGAATAGATTAACTTATGATAAGTAATATTTTCGTCTAAATGGGTCGTATGCAGCATGAATTCAAATTAGTTGAGCTAACAGACTAATAAGAAAAAGATAACAACTATAGTTCTTACGAGGCAAAAATAAGTATTTAAAAGAAATTCTGTCTTAGTTATTGACAAGATGACCCAAAGAAGGTTGACTATTGTTAATTTGGCACCCCACAACTTTTAGCTTTTGTTGACAACTTCACTAAAATAAATACATAACGAAGTTTACTATTGAAAGGAAAAAACGTGACTAAGTATATTCTAATTAGATTAGATCAAAATGGATTTGGAGAAAGAAAGAAAAATATAAACACAAAACCTTACATTGTAAAACTTTACTGACTTTTCTATTCATTTTCATTTGCTTCTTTTCAGCATCTCTCATCAACATATAAATTCATATTATTCTATTTCTCTCTTCAATCTTCTTCTGGGTACTCTTGATTACTTTCCAAAATTTATCAGGTTTGATTCGTCCCCATAAAATCTTTTACTCTTTTGCTCTATAGGTGTTTTGAATGATCCATCGCTGTTTCCATTTTCTGTTTTAATTTTCGAATTCTATGGGTTGACTTTTTTCATATAAGTGAATATTGTCTTGGTCAAATTTTTTGGGTGTTCTTTGATATTAATTTATATGGGTGTCTTTGTTGATTTATTGATGCTAATATTTATCTGTTTAAAGCACTTTCCTGTTTAAATTTTTGGTCTTTCAGCACACCTTTTTGAGTTTTGATTTTCTTTTTTTTTTTTTTTTTTTTTTTTTTTTTTTTTTTTTGCTCTATGAATTGTTGAAATGGTGAAAATAGGGTAAAGGAATAAAATGAGTACTCCTTATATTATATTGAAGTCTTCATTAATCTGATATTTACGTAGAGGTGAGAGGAGATAAGAGGAAGCCAAAAAATTGAAAGATAGAGAGTGGATAAATTGGGTCTTAGGTCCAAATCTTATCGGAGGCAAAAAGCCACCAGATGATTTGTTCCTATCAACCTAAATCTTACCTGATACCTATGTTGGTGAGAGGTGAGAGGTAAGAGGTAGTAGGTTTTATTTTTGTTCTAATTTTTAGTATATGTTTCATACACTTAAATGATCTAAGTGAAGCACCAGTGAGTAAGATGGCCCTTTCCATTTGTCTTCGCGAAGGTAGAAATTTGCATTATATACAACAACAACATACCCAGTATTATCCCACACTGTGGGGTTTGGGGAGGGTAGTGTATACACAGACCTTACCCCTACCTTGTGAGGATAAAGAGTTTGTTTCCAATATACCCTCGATTCAGGAAAGCATAAGCACCACATTAATGAAAATATAGACAAGAAGGGACAGCCCAAAAGCCATATAAAAAGCAGAATAAAGACAACAAGATAATAAGGTGATCACAATGAAAAAAAACAACGGTTAGTCAATAAAAACCTACTACCTACAGAAAGCGAGACTGTGTGCCGATACTACTGTTAAGAACACTCTAGACTACCTACTCTACTACCCTAATCCTCGACCTCCATACCTTACTATCAAGGGTCATGTCCTCGGTCAGCTAAGTTGCGCCATGTCTTGCCTAATCACCTCTTTCCACCTCTTTTTTGGCCTACCTCTACCTCTCCGTAGGCCCTCCAATGTAACCTCACAGATTCTCACCGGGGTGTCTGTGCTCCTCCTCCTCCTCACATGACCAAACCACCTAAGTCGCGTCTCCCGCATCTTGTCCTCAATAGGGGCCACACCCGCCTTGTCGCGAATAACCTCATTTCTAATTCTATCTAACCTGGTGTGCCTTCACATCCATCTCAACATCCTCATCTCTGCTACCTTCATCTTCTGGACATGAGCGATCTTGACTGGCCAACACTCAGTCTCATACAATATCGTCGGTCTGACCACCACTCTGTAGAACTTACCTTGAAGTTTCGGTGACACCTTCTTGTCACACAAAACACCGGAAGCGAGTCTCCATTTCATCCATCCAATTCGATGTGTGACATCTTCATCAATCTCCCCATCTCCGTGAATAATATACGATGTGTAGAAATTTGCATTATATAGTGATAAGCAATTCATGAGGTACGGTTTCAATCTTTTGTTGGACCAGGGAACACCTCCAACCCAATTTATAAGGGAGTTGGCTATTAGGGTTTTTAGGGAATAGGCCTTATGATCAAGCAACGCTGATATAGGTGGAGGTCATCACGATTTGCATTTGTTGAACTGCACAACGGGATTCGGTTGTGCTATCTGTTCTTGCATCTCATTGTCTGAATCTGTTGGAAAGAATAAATAGGGATGGGAAGCTTTTCTTGGTACATCAACTTCAAGCTCGGGGATGGAAGGGAGATCAAGTTTTGGCCAAATCGGTGGGCAAGATCTATTTCCATTAACTGGTGCCTAAATTTGTGTTATGGAGTTCGACTAGTTGATGGATTGTGCTCAGATCTAAAGTCCATACTGGGTCACAATTATTCTAATCTAGAAGAACTTAAAGCTCCGTCCTTTACTTTACCCATTCTCTGAATATCCACTAACATGTGATTCATTCTTGTTTGAATTCTATTATTAGAAATTGATCTCCATGTTACAACCCTTTCGGTTGCAAGTTCTTTTGGAGAGCAACTCTGCCAAAATGGTCGTACTTAAACATGGCAATCACCATGGAAGAACTTAGCCAACTGATTCAACTTAAATAGTTAATTTCTAAAAGGATAAAAGTAAAATGAAAATGACTTACAAATTTCTTCTTCAGCATGAGGTACTATGGAAGATGTTGCATTCCTAAAGTTTGGGAGGCATCTCTAGGAATCATACTGTATGAACTTTTTGGTAGGGAAAGAATAGCTCTAATCATTTTTGATGGATGTATGCAGTATAGAGTCAAAAGCAGTTTGTTATGCTTCTGCTTCTCTGGTTTATATATGGAAGAAGGAAGGCAGCAAATTTCAAGAGTTCTTGTGTTCAATAATGATCGTTTGATGTTTTTAAATACTTGCATCTTCTTATGAAAAATCAATCCTTGCATCTTCTTACGGAAGCTTTTCCATACTATTATTTTGGTTGCTTGCTATTGCAAAGATGAATTGATGATGAGCATATTTATGAGGTGAAAGGGACAATGTATTGATGGCATTTTCTCTAGAACAGTCATATAAGGGTCTCTTTAACTCTACTCAGTTATATTTTCAATGCTCTTTTTGAGATAAGTTGCTATTTGGTGATGAATCAATTGTCTGCCTTTGGAGTTTTAATAGCTTTCACTTGATTAGCTTTTCTTCTCTCACTTTTTTTTTTTTTTTTTTGGCTTTTGCTTAACAGTTTTGATATATGCTTGTTCTTCTATCTCGCCGTTGACCTAGAATTAATTCAGGTCTGTTTTTAGTGAAAATTTGTTGCTTACTCATTTTCTACCGTTGCTTTTGTTTGCATAATTTCACTTTTTTTTTAGCTCGATTCTCTTTAATCCTGACCAGAGGAAGGGAGATGCTGCATGCTGACAGGAACTTGGTTTTTAGTCTCTCCTATCATTGAAACTTCACACTGAAAGTGGCTATGATAAAGTTCTCTATGGAGGAGGTGGAACTGTATACCAACTGGGATAATGTGATTTGTCCCATTTGCTTGGACTTCCCTCACAATGGTGTTCTCCTCCAGTGCTCATCTTATGAGAAGGGTTGCAGGCCCTTTTTGTGTGACACAGATCATTTGCACTCCAACTGTCTAGAACGCTTCAAACAAGCACATCAGATGATAGTTGGGTCACAATTACTTTCAACATCCAACGAGAGAGAAGATATGATAAAATCGGAAGCCAACAATTGGCCTGCCTGCCCCTTGTGTAGGGGAGAAGTTACTGGATGGGTTGTTGTTGAGAAGGCTCGCATACATCTCGATGTCAAGGAACGCTGTTGTGAAGAGGATAAATGTCGATTTACGGGCACCTATTTCGAACTTCACAAACATGCTAAACTTGCCCACCCTCATGCATGTCCCGCGAAGATAGATCCTGCTCGACAGGTTGACTGGGAAAATTTTCAGCAGTCCTCTGAAATAATAGATGTCTTGAGTACTATTCATGCAGAAGTTCCCCGAGGGGTTGTTTTAGGTGATTATGTGATTGAATATGGAAATGATAATTCTGAAGATGATTTTGAGGACTTCCCTTCAGCGCAGGGGAACTGGTGGACATCATGTATCTTGTATCAGGTATTTAATAACTTTAGGACGTCTAGAAACAGAAGAAGATCTAGAGTAAGTAATACAAGAAGAGGAAACCGCCATTTGGGTTATGATGCTTCTAACTCTGACGAGAGTTCTGTGACATCTGTAGAATATGTAGATTATGGGGTTGACGAGACTGATGATGAGCTTGTAAGTGCTGCTGGCCTCTCAGGGAGAAGAGCTGATAGTCGCAGGTCAGTAAGTTCTTTATATATCAGCCTTTATTTATTTACATTATGCACTACATTTGTTTTAAGCTCATACAAATAACAAACTCAGTGAAATTTCACGAGTGGGGTCTGGGAAGGTAGTGTGTACGCAGACCTTATCCCTACCCGGCGGAGAGGTTATTTCTGATAGACCCTCAGCTCAAGAAAAGATGAAAAGAAGCAGTGGCCACTAGCAGTAACAACAACAAGAAGAAGATACTAAGAAAACGAAGCGAAAGATAACAATCAAAACAACATGTAGTAATAGCAATTTAAGAATAAGAAAGATACCATACTAACACTAATAGTACCGATATGGGATAGAAAAAGAAAAATGCTCGACTGCCTACTAACCTTCTATCCTAATGTTCGACCGCTACTCCCTCCTATCAAAGTTCATGTCCTCGGTAAGCTAAATCAACGTCGTGTCCTGCCTAATAACCTTTTTCCAATACTTCTTTGGCCTACCTCTATCTCTCCTCATACCCACCAAGCCAATCTCTCATACCTCCCAATTTAGGGCATCTGTGTTTCTGCTCTTCACATGCCCGAACCATCTTAGCCTCGCCTCCCGCATCTTGTTGTCCCCGGGGGCCACTCCCACCTTTTCCTGAATATCTTCTTTCCTAATCTTAAACCTGGTATGCCCGCCCATCCATCTTAACATCCTCTTTTCAGCAACAAAATCTTCTGGACATGAGAGTTCTTGACATGTCAACACTCAACCCCATACAATATAGTCGGTCTAACCACCACTCTGTAGAACTTACGTTCAAGTTTTAGTGGCAAATTCTCATCACACTTAACACCGGATGCGAGTCTCAATTTCATCCACCCCGCTCCGATACGATGTGTGACATCCTATTCAATTTTCTTAGATTACTGACCCAAGATACTTGAAATTTCCTCTCTCGGAGATGATTTGTGAGAATCCATTATTGTGAATCTCAGCTATTTCGATATTCCTCAAGTTGGTATCCTTGTTTTCGCAACCTATAAGATTGAGCAAAATATGGAACTTTCTGTTTTAATTAAGAAATATCCAAACATCTAGTTTACATGCCATAGGGTAAGCATGTGAGAACTGTAGACTTTTAACTTTGTGTGCATATATGTCTTTTATCGCTTCTCAATCAAGTATGATGATGAAGAAAAGCAAGCGCTCATTACGTAGCTACCACCTCAGTCATGGGGGGTGAAGGTAATGGAGCAGGAGCTACTACCACTCTAGCTGTCCAGCCACGCAACTAATCCTATGAGATGGGGTGCTAACGAAAAGCTGCACCGGGTGTAATTTCTAAAACATAATGCAAAGTTTGGTGGTATCTCATATCAAACTTTTTTCCCTGGTGTAGGGTCTATGTGGCCCCACAAATTTCCGAAGGCTCCAGCCTTTTCTCATTTGGTCCGCTATGATTTGTGGAAACCTTGCTCCCTTTATTCTCTTATTAGACGCCACCTCGAATCAAGCTTTATTGCGACATGCTCTAGATTGATGGGTTCCTTGTGTAGTCTTGGCCTTCACCAGATCCCTTTGTTTGCTTCTAGTGAAGTGAGGATCTAACGAACTGCACTCCACATCATATGTTTTCTGAGCAGTTTACTCACACATTTTGATGCATTAGATATTCTTTCTCCTTTTTAATAATTCTTATCAACTTTTCTGAGTCTTTCAGTTGATTGCTAATTAGATTGTCTCATTTGCATGCTTACAAATACATATTGACTGTTTGAACTTCTCATTCTGTGCGTATGAACTCCAGTATCGAACTCCTATCTTAGGAACTTTTGGATTACTTTTTCTCCTCTGTCTAATTACAGTGACCAGCCAATTTGTGTGGATACTGTATACATTATACCTGTGTATCACCAGATTTCATGCTTGGACACCATCATTTTTTCTATTATTGAGTTTACAAACTTGGACTCTTCTGTGTGAATGTTCTTTGTCCTTAATTGTGGTGTTCTGGCTTTCACAAGTTTTAGAGCTTTCGAAGAATTTTGAGCGTCAATCATTGGCATCTACAATCAAATTAGCTTCATTTGATCGCAGGCAATTGTGGCTTATTTAGGAGAATTTGATTGTTGTCTATGGACTGAATCTTAGTTCCTTACCTTTACTTTTTTGTTAATACTAATTTCCTTGTGGGAACTATAAAGAATTGATATGGGAAGAAAATGGAGTGTTAAATATGACTTCAAGTTTTATATTTGTTTTCACCAAGCATTTACGGTGCCAAAATAGTAAGACAGCGAAAATTGATTTTATCGTTAGTATGTAGCAAAAAAAAAAATTAAAAAATAAAAAATCTGTGTTCCCTAGATGGTGAGTTAATGGCATTTTGTTTTTCATCTTTCTGACTAATAAAGGATGAGACACAGTTAACCATAGAAATGGGAACCCAATAAGGGTCATCAAAAGGCTGGTTTGATTTAAGCATTGCTATTTGCTGAAGCATAGAAATGGCCCATATGAAAGAGATTTGCTTTTTTTTCCAATTTGCATAGTGTCTTTGTCATTATTCAGTCTGATTCACCATACTTATTCCTTCATCCTTCTTTTTGTGGTACAGTTCCCGAAGGCGTCGTTCCCGCTTCTATGACAATTAGGTAACTACTTACTGTAATTGAACTCCAGCGCTCCCCACTGATTCATATAGTCTGTTTGACATGGATTATTTTCATTAATTAGTACCTTATATCAATGTTGTCAAAGGCGCGTTTAATCCCTGAAGCGAGGCTCAAAACATGTTGAGCGCTTTGCCTCGCTTTGTGTGCGCTTTAGTGTCGCATCAAGGCTTAAGGCATAGTAATCCTGAAAAGGCGACATTAAACAATTGATATTTCACTTCTCGTAAATTTTTTCCAATTTCTTTGTCCATATATTTGTTATTCATGCTTATAATTATTAGTATTGGACTACATATACATATTTTTACTTTTTCTCTAGTTGCGCCTTTTTTCATTAAAGGCCACGCTTTATTTGCGCTTAAAGCCCCAACGGACCTTAGAGATTTTTTTGCGCTTTTCGCCTTTGATAACACTGCGTTATATTAGAACTAGGAGCAGGAATAACAGTTGAATTGGCTTGCACCTGGAAAAGGGTCAGGAGGCTGTTGGATTTCCCCCTTCTCCCTCCCCCCGGCCCCACCCCAGTAGAGTGAGCCAATTTAATGGCTCGCCCCGACTACCATGGTGCAATCCATGATTCCCATTGCTCCAGTAACTAGATCGTTCCATTTCTTACGGGTGATTTTTGCACGTTGTAGGATTAATAAGGATCCATTGGAAAGACTGAAGTGTATCTTCATTTGCTCGAAAACTAGCATCATTCAAAGAAGTGTTCCCAAGTATTCCTGCTGGAGTAGTGGCTATGGAGTGAAGAGGGAAAGGTTAAAAAAACTTGTTCATGTAGTTATGGTGCAAACGGTTGTAAGCTTGATGCTTGCTCATGATAAACTGAAGGCTTCATAGATAGTCTTTTGGACATTTTAACTTCTGTGTTAGTGACCTTTTGAATCAGTTTATCATAATCTTTTTGCAGACTGCCAATTGCTTTAGATTCTTCAGGAGTTTCTAAAAAACGGTAAATAGTACCCTCCAATAATTATCTGTTTTTTCTTCAATCCAATAATGATTTGTTGATAGTACCAATTTTTGCATTTCTCATTGGTGATGGATATTGAATTGATAACTTAGTTCAATGAATGATTTTCACAATGGTGCAGCTTGCAAGTGTTATACTAAGTTTTCACTTTTCAGTTATTAAATGATGACATTTGAGGATCAAATTGAGAACTCATTTCTAAAGTTTGCTTTGAGGATCAAATGTAGTCCTTTCAATTTTAGGTTGAGTGATGAGTTGACATGTAACATGTTAATGTGGACTAAAATGTAATCTATTTTTTTTCATATCTCCCAATCTCATGTTGACCAATGATTTCCTTTTCCAAGTTTAAGAAAACGATTCAAGAGAATGAAATCTTCCTAAAGCCCTTGCTTAATGGTTTTCAAAGTCATTTTATAAAAAATTCTGTACCTAATAAAGTGACTGCGGCTTTTATTAATGGCAACATCTGATCTCTCTTGTCACACCCTTACCAAAAGAAGAAAGACATCACTGTCTCACTCAATTCAGACAGTGAATGCCTGATTCTGGTAAGAAAGATGTTGCAGCCTCCTTCGAACTGGTTGATCAAATGAGACATTATTGATCCAACAGTTTCGGGGCAATCGACTATTTCTCCTGGTTTAATGGACATTGAATTCGTACAAGATTCTATGCTCCTCCCATCAATTTTTTCCAACGTACACTAAATGAACACACCATGTACAGCCTACAGGTTTACAAAAGAAGTTCAAGAAAGACCAGGATGAAACAGATACAAACAATAATGAAATATTGGTCATAAATCACATGAGGTGATCGAAGGCAGATTTTGTCTATCCATTATGCACAAGGATCAAACCAAATAAAGTATATTCATCAACCAGCTCAAAGCTGATTTAAACTTCTGCATTACTCGTCAAAATCATCACCCCTGTTGGTACCACGAAAGGAACTTCAAAACTAGCAATCCAACAATGGTGGCAACTACAGCTAACGTTGGTAAGTAACAGATATATATAGATACAAGGTAGTCAAAAATTGTATCCTTCACATATATAGCTATAGAGATATCAAAAGATGACAAGACAATGCCCTCGCCACCATCAGATGACGACGAATGTGATTACAGAGATTTGTAGGCAGGCAATAGAAATACATCATTCCTCTCTTGAAGCAGGATCTAACCCAGCAGATGGGCTATCAGCAAAGTATTCTTGATGTTTGACGTTTACTCCATACTGCAATGCAAATCAAAAGTCAAAGTGAACCATAGTAAGCAAGTTGAAACACCGAATATGTGCAAAGAGTAGCACTGAATCGATATCAAGGACAACTTTCGGAGAGGAAGAAACATCAGAGGTTCTAAAGGAATGGAGAACACATTTCTACCCGTGAGAGCATGCCGTTTGCTTCTAAACAATTTTTGGAGCATCCATAAGGTCCTAGTTGGTATAGATGATTTAGTTGCTCTTTATTGAGAATCATATGTTTTGTGTAAGGTCTTCTACTTCTTATATACCCATACTGTACTGCCCGATTGCATCAACAAAATTTTTATCTCACCAAAAAATTTAAACGAAAGATTAAAGTTTAACAAAGATCTACAGACCAAGAACTTCATAGACACAGATGATTGTATACAATGTGAATCATCACTTTTCAAGTTTTCAGAGGAAAAACATCCAGATCAAGCAGTGTTCAGCCAGCAGATTCTGCCAAAACAGCTTATGCACGGACACAAAATTTCATCCTTATATCTTGATCATCTGGTCACTAGTTCTCAAAGTACTCACTGAACACAACTATTTAACTATAGGAAAATCATTTAGAAAGAAAAAGCAATAGTAATGAATATACACTTCAACAAATAACTATTGCTCAAAAAGCATTATATAGGAGACTGCTTACAGAGTAAATTAGATGATATTACAGTGATGGATATATTTTTTATAGAGCAAACAATGATTCTAATCCGATGCTTACCTCTCGTAGAGATTTTGAAAGATCATCCATCGTCAAGATAAGGCGTTTGTCCTGCTAAAACAGAGTTAGAACTAATAAACATAGGCAAATGAAAAGAGAAATAGGCGAAGCACCTTTTGCTGCTTATCTCTTTTATCCTTGACAACAGCTGACTGCCTTGCCTTGCAATGCCTGCATCACCGTGAGAAACAAGAAAGTTTATCTAATAGAAGCTCGGATTCCGAGAAACATTAACCAAGAACATGTGAAAGTTCACGAAATTCAACTCTATTTCGGTTCTCAACACAAAGAATGGGGGTATCCTTTATCCTGATCTACCCCCAACTTATAGACTTTCCTGCCTTCAACCACTGTCATTTTTACTGTTTCAACGCTATTTCTAGTCTCTACATAGAATACCAAAGGGGATATGCCTTGCTCATAATATATCCATAGCTTTCATCAACCTTCCTGCCCTTAACCACTGTCATTATGTTGTTTTGCAATGCAACAACTCCTTTTCATAAAATTCCGCTTCTTTGGAACATTAATGATATACATAGACACCAATCTCAAACCCTTATTGATTCCCTCTATGACAAGGCGATACTCCATTCTCAAAAGAATCACAATTGGAACCTAAGTTCTTCCAGGAATCCTATGGGATCTAAAGAAACTTGCACGACTAAAAGATGGAGGAGCTTAACAGCTTAATAAAAGAGAGAATGGTATTTAACTGCTTAAAATTTTCTAAGAGAACTTCTAAATAGAACACAAGGAACTCCCTTATTACTCAATACAGATTCCTGTAGCCTAGAGAAAAGTAACTCGAGTAGAAAAAAGGATACAATCCTAGAAGGTAACTAAAGGCCATGACGCACTCCTTCTACAAATTTTATTTTCAACTAAGAAGAGATTAGGTAGCGAAGACGATCAGATGCTGCAAATAAGGGGGTGCCCTAACATGGGGAAGAAAATATCTTCCTCTCTGGAACTAGTTAGCCAAGTATACTTTTTAGTTTAACATATAATCCTAATGTTGTTAAAAGCATGTTTGAGACAAGGTTAAACTCAAAAACTAGGTGTAAAGTAAGACACTTCATCTTGCTAGGCAGCACTTCAATGCAAGCACCAAGGCTTTAAGTGATGTCTTCCGAAATGCACCTGTGAGCCCACGTCTCACTAGCAATGATTATGGGTGATATATTAATTTTTAAGAAAAAATTATGAAGAAATTCTTTGGTTAGGAATAAGAAATTATAAATGCAGTATAAAGCAACTAATTAGATAATTAAAACTATACATCTTTGCAATTGAACAAAAATTTAAAATGAGTTTTATTACATATATTTTGCTTAAGTGAAAATATTCAATTTCTCTGCCAAGATATTGATAATTGTAGTTATTGTTTCTTGCTTACACATTGCAAATCTTTTCACTAAAGTTTGCTTTTTAATTGCGCTTAACAACACCGACACAATATTCTATACTTTTCCGACTTTGCAGTAAAAAACTTGGAAGGTTAGGGGGCAAAGGGACACTTAAATTAGAAGTATCATAGAATGGCAAACACTTAAACAGGCACAACAATCATGTTGAAGCCTCGAGAAGTAAGAGACTTACTTAACAAAAGTTTTTTTTTTTGGGG